TCTTGATGCCTCAACAAACAACTACTTAAGAGATCATTACATCAGTGATGCTGAAGACCAAGCTGAAAGCAGACTTCAAAGTTCTGAGAGAAACGAGGGAGGGAGCAAGAAAACACAAATACAGAGACGTTTACAACACTAGGAAAAAGCACAGAACCCAAAAGCTCCCTACAGGGAAATGGTCCATCATGAATCCTTTCCTTGGTTGAATGGCATTAGAGAAAAAAAGGCAGAGCCTTAAAACCTGATGTGGAAAAGCCAGTAACGTTAGTGGGTTGGAGAGTTTAATAAGACGTCCATCTTCTGCCCACAACTACATGGCTTTCTGTATTTAATAACTGCTAACATTCCCTGAAGGCTTGCCTCACTTTACTGTTGCACTCACATCTACTCTGCTTTGTGTTAGCTCTGGGAATGCCTACCACACTCCTACAGGATACTGAGAATTACTGCTGCACAACAAGTGAGTTAAGCGTCTTACCAGTCACATAGCTTGCAATCAGGGAGGTGGAATTTGATCCCAGATTTCCAACTTTATAGCCTGTGTTTTTTTTTAACCTCCACATTATGTTAATCCCTTCGATGTCCTTACTCACTGCTCATATTAAATCAATTTGCTCTTGGATTCTTTCAAATATCATTGAAGGAAATCTTAAAATTTCCACTTAGTGTTCTGGGAAATAGCTTTAAGGAAAATTAATGATGAAACATGCAAAGCTTGTAACATTTTTTGAAAGTTGACATGACCCAATTTGGTATTACACTCAAGATCAAAGTACTAAGTAACTTTTCAAACAGATGTTATTTAAAGGCTCTGTGACTGATAATTTTTTTCAGTTCTTGCTAGGGTAGCAAATTGTGAGCACCACATTTATAGATTTCCTTCTGGGCTGAGATGTTTATAAAAGTTCAGCACAGGAAATGTTAAGACAGTTTAAAGTGAAAACAGATTCCCATGATTTTAAGCCAAGTTGGGAAGGTGCCAATCCGCAGGCTTTCTTTTTTAACAGTTTCAGGTGCGAACAGCAAAGAGATAGGTGACGGGGGAAGCTGCGGCTGCTGCCGAACCACATCGCTAACGGGTACCGGGCAGTCCCAAAGGCAGAGCTCTGGCCACTCCACCCATGCAGAGACTTCTCAATGCTCATTCGTGCCCCACACCGCACTGACCAATTTCCTTGCTGCCACTACCCACCCAGTCACTCACTGCATTGATTTCTTTGCATCCCAGAGCACCAGAGAGGGCACATGTTTCAAGGAGAGAAAACTGTGGTCACGCTGCCTCAGCTCAAGCCCTCACCAACTGTGTGGCCTCAGGCAAGAAACTTGGCTTAACCATGCTCCAACCTCATTGCTTAACTAGGGAGACAATAACAGCACCTACCTCGTATGCTAGGTGTCAGGTATTTACCATTTCATTAAGAATTTAGAACACCTGGAAATATATTGGAATAGTATGCATGCTCTATTACATCTTATGTATTGTTATTACTGTCACTTTCTCAGTACATAAGTAGAAAGCACAAACTCCTAGTGTCAAAGTCACCAAATGACAATTACTTTATCTTTCAATTAATCAAACTTTCCTACATTGTCAATGCATTCCTTAGTGCATTAAAGAAAAAAAGTTTTTAAAGTACAGTAGGATTTGCTAAATATCCTTTGCACTGCCTGGAATGGGCACTCCCAAACGGCTCCACTGTGTCAAGTGTATGGCTAGGCAGGCAGGTGCCCACTGCTGCCGGCCAAGAGCCAATGTCACCGCCAGCACCAAGCCCAGGATCAGCATCTGGAGCGACTTCAGCATGCACACTCCTTGGACAAATTACACGGTGGAGGGAAGGCAAACTATGATACAGTGTTACTCAAGCTACTGACGGCTACTAAGAAAACACTCATCTGACTTACAGTCTGATAATTCTAATATGATATACTGTGAAAAGTAAAATGCTCAGTTTAGAGTCGGAGACTTAATTCAGGGTTCAAGAATCTCTCACTATTAAACAAAATGAATGTTTATATTTTTCTGGTCCCTAGTCATCGTAACTCCTACTGCTCACAATTCAAAGTAACCTTTGTCTATCGGTTTAATTCAATTTATCAGAAATTTGCAAAATTTTTACATTCAATTAGATTAAAAACTAGTTTGGATATGAATATAAAGAGTAACCACCAATGTACTTCCACTGTGATGACCACCTGTCCCTTGCCACTGTCTGCTGCTTCACCATGATTCACACAGGCAGAACACTACCCTACACTGCTCAATTCATCGTTACTCAGCCTTCTGACTAAGATCAACTGTAAGAGCTCTCAACCTACATCCACTTTCAAACAAAGGTCATAATGAAGCTTGGAAAATTCCAAGCCCATCTTGTTTTGAATTAAGTGCATAAAACATGGTTCTAAAAGTCAGGATGATCAAAGCTTATGGCACTGGACACATAAGGATCATTCATGCCTGAACACAGCATCAAGAGACTAGATGCACCCATGACCTAAGAGTTCACAGCCTGAAGAGATGGAACCTGGGAAGCCAGCACAGGGACAAGATACCCTCAGTACAAAAAGGAATGTCAACTTGGTTATAGATGTCTTAGCTTTGAGTAAGTTAGTGTAGCTAATAATAGTATAATTAAGACAAGAGGGAAAAATCATTGCAGCTATTTATTAAAAAAAAAAAGTGATTACTGCTTTTTAAAACCTGAACTCAAAAGCCTGTACATCTAAGAACAGTAGTCATCAAAGCTGCTCTATGTTGAACTGTACTTACAGAAAGTCATGAAAAACTGATTTTTTAAAGATATTAGTGCCTGTTTAGGTAAGTAAGGGACCGTGGTTCAATCCCCAGCACCACGTGCCATGCCACCCCGCCCTCATAGCAGGCTGAGCCACAACTGGGATGTACCATGCACAGGCCTGTAATCCCAGCTCTGGGGAGGCTGAAAGCAGGAGCTTTACTATGAGTCCCAGATGTGTAGTAAGACCCTATAACAACCAAATACATATATATATATATAAAAAAAGACATTAGTAAACCTAGGTTAAGAAAATAATGAGATGCCAACATAATCTTATGTTAGCTGGTTATATCAATTCTTAAAAGAGAAGGCCCCATGCAGTGCAAACCATTTCATTAGGCTACATAAGATGACATGGTAGCCTCTTTCCCCACATCTAAACATCAGTGCTCTGCCACCCCACCATAATTTCCCCACTCTAACTCGTCAGCATAGGTGGGGACCACTCCGTGCCACTGGTGAGCTGAATTCTGTGTGTGGCCGAAAAACAGAAAGTGACTCCTTCTTTTATGAGGCTTACAAATCCCATCTGCATATAACAAAAATAGTTACCACATAAAATAAATTTGGTTGCAATTTTTTTAGAAATATAGTGATAACAGAAAGGACAGAGTCAATGAGCAAGAATTAAATAAACCAGTGGAAGAATGCATTAGGATAAGAGCTGTAAGGCAGGACAGATGAAAGTATGCTCATAGAAATAAACAGAGTATTTGTATAGCATGGCTGTTCAAAAAAGGGTTTCATAGTACATCCCAAGCCAACGCTATTGCAGTGGACTCATTACCTACACAGAGGCAGAAGGTAGAGCCCACCTGGGCTGAGGTACATTTTAAGGCATCAGTAAAGCCCTGGGCTATCAAAAGACTGAGTGTTCAAAAATTATATTCTGACTCTGCAGAGGCTTCCTACACAAGAGTGAACATCCTGATTTGCCCAGAAGCAACCCAGTTTTCTCCTGCTGTGCCAGGGTGATTTTAATCACTTGCAGAAAGAGTCCCAGCTTGACTAATAAACTGTGAACTCAGCCTAGCCAAATCTGTTTCAGTTAATCCTTTGATGAAAGGATTTCTTGGATGACATAGCTTAGATCAGAAAGTTTCTGCTGCAATCCTAAAGGTGGGAAGTCCAGCAGGGTTAGAAGCTACGTCTACTTCTAAAGAGCCAGGGACTGCACCCAGGCTCCTCTCGGGAGTGCTGTTTTCAGAGCCCTGCTTTCTGGTTGCATCCCAACAGCAGGATCACAAGCCAAATCTTTCAGAGTGAAAGCCTGCATGAAGAAATGTTTCTTTTTCCTTAAGTTTACATTGATTATGGCAGTTACTGAGTTTTTAAATTATTATTCTTGTAAATAAACGTATTTTACTTAATGCTGGTGTCACTGGCTAGCGTGGGACCTCACTTTCTTGATAATGCAAATGAAAACTAAAGCAACAGTGTGAATCTACACACAAAACTTTTAAACAGAAAGTAAGAGCAAATGGTAAGGGCCTTTAAACTTAAGGAACTCATAAGCACCAAGCCAGCTCCCTGGGAAGGAAAAAAAGAGGCTATCAGGAAAAGCTCCTGCTTGAGTAACTGGAGGGCTAGCCAGGATGGGGAACTGGGACATTTCAGAGGAGGCTGTAGAGGACAAGGGTCTCAGTTTGCACTACCTCAGCCCTGGTTGTCAGCTCTAGAGCAAACCTTGCAACTTGAGAAAAAGTTTAGTCCCCGTCTGGTGAGTCTTCATGACTCGTGTAGTCTCAGCCACATGACAATTTTCTGGAAGGCAAGGTAACCGCAGGTTTAATACAATGGAGACTGCTGAGCACAGGTGTTCTCAGTCTTGAAGAGTAATGAAATACACTAATAAATTTAGGGCTAATAAACCTTGCTTCCTAACTTCTATACAAACATCCCCAAATGACCAGCAAGCCTATCTGTGGTGCTGAGAAAAAAGAACCTAGAGTGACACAAAATGCAGGAAGGTCAAGCTTTGTCCTCCTTTAAGTTACCTATCATCTCTAAGCCCAAGTTGTTTTCAGCAAAATTTTCTTTCAAGTCCCCTGCCTATCTTAGGAAACACTGCCATGATTTTATCGAATAACAGGTTACTGACCCAGGAGTTTGTCGGTCCTATCTCTACAGTGGTTTCTGATTAGCTCAATAAAAATATGTGGATGGTGCGGCTGTCAGCGCTTGGCCAGCCCCTCAGCTATGGCCGTATTCCACGACGAGGTGGAGATCGAGGACTTTCAGCATGACGAGGACTCGGAGACGTATTTCTACCCCTGCCCGTGTGGGGATAACTTCTCCATCACCAGGGAAGATTTGGAGAACGGAGAAGACGTGGCAATGTGTCCTAACTGCTCTCTTGTGATAAACGTGATTTATGACAAGGATCAGTTCATGTGTGGAGAAACAGTCCTAGCCCCTTCAAGCAACAAAGAACTAGTTAAATGCTGAAGAAGCCTTCAGAAATTCAAATCCAGAGTAACTGAATGGAAACTGCAAGTGAAATGGCCCTGGCTTTCCAGTGATGAGTGCTTTATGATGTGCTATTCTGTTGGAGTGTGGATCTGTTCATCAACTGCTGTGTTTGTCTTCAGAAAGAGAAGCAAGGGCCTGGGGAGATAGCTCAGTAGCATGAGTGCCTGCCTGGCAAGCGCAAGGTCCTGAGTTTGATCCCCAGTACTGGAAAAAAAAAAAAAAAAAAATCTACCAGAAAAGAGAAGCAAGCCCATAACGTCATCTGGATTTCATGCTTAGAACTTTTAAATTGTTAATTGCCCATCTGAACTTTAAGGTAATTTTAGTCAGTGCTTTCTTTCTGTTACTGTCATCATTTTTTATATCCTAAACCTAGTTCAGTATCTGATTACAGCATCATCTACCTCATTTGTTAGAATTCCTTATTAAAAAGAGATATTTTTCTTTTAATGGGCTGGCAAGATCGCTCAGCAGACTAACAGCTGCTTTGTCAAGTTCAGGGAATGGGGTTCGATCCCTGGTCCTGCATGCCCTGCCACCAGGGCTCACTGAACAGGTGACCAAGTCTGGGCATGGTGCACGTGCCTATAATCCCAGTGTTTGGGAGGCTGAAAATGAGGATCACAAGTCTGATCTGTGTAGTGAGACTCTGTAGAACCTGTGCTAAATACATGAAAAAAAAAAATAAAATAAAATAAAGTCTCAAGTGAAATGGTCAAAGAAGTGGAATTTCCTTATATTCTACATATTCTTTGAAAGTCAGAATAAGATAAATAGAAATGAAATCAGTAACGAGACAAGTGAAATACTCCGGATTACGTAAATACAGTACATGAATGATTTTGCCACATCTGAGTGAACATTTCTGTATCTGAGATTTTGTTGTAATGTTGACGAAATTGCACTTCAGAGAGGGGTTAGTATTTATGGTTGGTAGCAGCTCTTTCAGCGTGTCACAGAATTGTGTCACTAGCAAAAGGTAAAGCATCTACAGCAGAAAAGAATGGGAGGCCTGTTCTGAATAAGTATATCCATGAGAGCACATCCAGGGTCCATAACATGCAACCACACCAGAGCCGCACTCCTGCAGAGAAATGCTGCCCTGAACAAAGGCAGAAAGAAGATGGGCTCTTAGTCTTCTTTTCCACAGTGCTGCAAGTCGCAAGAAATTAGAGTGACTTAAATGAAAATTGAAAACTTCCTTTATAAACACAGCTTTGCTGTGCATATATCAAGTTTTACAAATAAGGTGACACCTGGAAGACTGTTTTGGGAATGGCTCATGTGATTAGGAAAATGACTTGTTAGAATGTGACTGTCCTATTACTGCTCAATAAAAGCTGTACACACTCCTTAAAGGTTTAGATTAAAACTCTATATAGACTTTTTAAAAACCTTGGTAGCAGCATTAGACTGAGACAATTAAAATCTATGCCAAGTAAATATTTATTTAGTGTATTATTGGGCATATTCCCAATACATGAGAAATCTCATTGCTGTGTGACCACTGATGTCCCAGAAGTGATCCGCACTGCCCTTGAGCAAAGTGATCACTCAGAAGAGAGCAGGGTGTGCTGACTGCTGGGAATGAGCTGCCAAGAGAAACAAACTGTCTGCTCCTGTCGATGCTTCTGCGGCTGGTGCTCATGTGTAATCTTTTTCTGCTGCTGATGAATTTCAAACAGTTTATGAACTACAAAACATACCAGGAATTAATCCAACACTAAGCAGAAAGGAAACCAGGGTCTTTCAAATATTACTGGACTTCTGTGCTATGTGTGCCTTATTGAGCACTCCCCGCCCCTGCCCCAGAGCACCTATGAGGATCAGGTGACACAGGTTCTGCGTCTGATTAACTCTGTCATGTTTGGCCAGGCCAGTGAATTCCTCATCTGAATGGCTGGGAGACCGTAGCAGCTGGTTTCTTAGCTATCAGGTCTTGTTTCAGGTATGGTGGTTTATAGGAACTGAAATGGTGGTTGAAAACTTTACACACAACTGCATCATGAAGTAGTAGCCTGAAGACTCCGCTTTCCTTCAATAACTTGCTGTTGCCACATTTCTGATTTTAGAAATTAAGTCAAAATGTTAAAAAGAAAGTTCTTCATATACTTTATACATTTAGAAGAATTTACATGTTTTGTAACTGTATATATTTATTTAAGTTGTACTGGTGTGCTAATAAAACCAGATCATTGAAATTCAAAAGAATAAAAATAAAAATATGTACAATGTGCATGTGTAACACACACAGGCATCACTTACACAAATATCTTCATCACATACAAAAAAACACTGAAGCACTGCCATTTAAAGAAAGGCCAAAAACGTCACTAGCTGCGTAAACTACGTAGAGCTGTCTCTCGCTATTTTGCAGTTCAACTTTGGAGGACTTGCTGTCTTGCGGATTTTCAAAACATATTAATCTAAATTATTATTTTTTGCTTATTATTAACTTTATTGAAAATCAATAGTAATTGTATAGCAAATGAAAAATTTTAGACAAATATTGAAATGTGAAAGAAATAAGATGTAGACAGTGAATTTTAAAAAGTATTTCTGAAAAGAATACCTGAGATTAATAATAGATTGTACATTGTAAAAAATTATTTTCAAATTTAAATGAATATAACGATAAAAATTGTCTAAAATAAACATGAAGAAGAGTTTACAGATCAGTCATAAATAGTTTTCTCTATGCCAAAATCAAGAAATTCATATTCATATAATTAGAATTCTCAAAGTAGAAGGAGGTAGGTACTAAATATTTAAAGATTTAAAATTTCTGAATTTCATTAAAATTATAGCACCACATGTCGAAGAAAAATGAACCTTTTGCACAAGAAATATGAATAAAATCACACCAAGATACAGAAAACTGAAATTGTCCAAAACTAATGGTAAAGAAAAAAATCATTAAAGCATATACATAGAAAAAAAAAATTAAGTATGGAAGAACAAAATTAAGTAGCATGTTATTTCACATTAGCAAATTTTTTAAAAAAAAAGCAAGTGGTTAAAAAAACTAGACTTATTTATTCAAAGAACTGAAAACAAAATCTGTCCTCACTGAATTTCATATTTAGCAAACATACCTTTGAGAACTAAAAGTAAAATATTTTCCAGTTAAACAAACTTGAAATATTCTAATACCTCCAGAAGTAGCATTATAGAAAATAACAAAGACCGTAATCCACAAGGGAGGGGGGAAGTAATTGTATGCTCCTGGATAAAGAAAAAAGAGCTCTCAAAATGGTAGTTATGCAGGACTATGTAAAATATAATATTAGACAAAGCTATTTAAAAGATCATTGAAGATTTCTACGAAACAGTATCAATCTTATGTCAGGTTATATACATATTTTTTCGCATGTGTGTGTGTGTGTGTGTATTTGTGTGTAGAAGACAAGGAAGAACTAATATAAAGTCAATGAAAACATAAATACACTTTTAAAGTTTCTAATACTAGGAGAAAATAGACAATACCACTATGTCTTATAAGTACATTGTAAGGCAAAGAAATATAAATCATAACACAAAAATTAAAATTAAACAATATTCAGAAAATTAATTAAATATTAATTAATTCAAAATTAAATTAAGTATTTCTAAATAATATTTAGAAATTAAATTGAGTCCAACTAAGAGGCCAGAATGTAGTATATCGTAAGTATGAATCTGTGATCAATTCAAGAGTACTTACACAGTATTAGATTAGGTTAATATATTTTAAAATATCAACTAAGAAAAAGTTTTCGAGATAGTAAAGAATTACTAGGAATAAGCCATAACAAAAATACGGGAGTGGCAAATGTATGACCAGGGTTTCTAACAGTTTGGGGACAGGATATCACACAAAGTTCTAGTGTGTTGTGGTCATGGACAATGTCCGTAACACTTACTGGTGGCCAGGTGTCACTTGTGGGACTGAGGTACTGCTATTTCTTTGAGATCCACTCTGTAGACCTAGACAGAGTCATGACCCACAGGGTGCAGGAGAAGTCCATTTGTAGAGTGTGCTGATGGAAATATTTTAGTGCTGTATACAAAAGAATAATGGAAAGACTGCTGTGGTATACCTCTTTTTCTCCTGTGTTTAACTGTTCGCCCTATTTGGTGGGTTCTTTCCATTCTCATTCATGGAGTTGTGGTTATTTTGATCCCTCTCTAGAACATCTTTTAGTAGTCTGTGTAGGGTTGGCTTTGTTGTCATGAAATTCTTAAGTTGTTCTTTGTCACAGAAGTATTTCAGTTCTCCATTAACCTTGAAAGAGTTTTGCAGGGTATATCAGTCTAGGTTAAAATGTTTTATTGCAAGACTTGAAGTACTTTGCTCCATGCTCTTCTTGACTTGGTTTGTGCAGAGAAATCTGCTGTTATTCTGATGGGTTTTCCTTTAAATGTGATCTGTTTCTTTTCTCTAGCGGCTTTTAGTATACTGTTCCTGTGCTGAATTTCTGGAATCTTGATTATTATATGTCTGAGTATGTTTTTACTTGGGTCGATGTTATTTGCAGTTCTCTATATTTCAGTCATCTGAATGTCAGATTGTTTGCCCATACTTGGGAAGTTTTCTGCTATTACTTCTGTCCATATTCCTTTTATATCATTTATACTGACTCCTTTCTCATGCACGCCTATTAGTCTTACGCTGTTCATCTTTGTGTCATCTTATAGATGTTGAATTATTTTTTCCTGCATCCTAGTTGTTTTTAAGAGATTTTTTCCTTACCTTTTCACTAGCTGCAATGCTGTCTGCAAGGTCTGAAAGTCTATTTTCACTTTCATTCAAACAGTTTTGCCAGCTTGTGATTGAAGTTTTAATTTCCTGTATATCACTTGAAATCTGCATCATGCATTCTGTTTCTTTCCTATATTGCTCATTCAAGGATTCTATCATTTTTCTATTCTCTCTCTTTTTTTTTTTTTTTTTTTTTTTTTTTTTTTTTTTTTGCAGAACTGGGGATTGAACTCAGACCCTTGTGCTTGCCAGGGAAGCACTTATTCTACTGAGCCATCTCCCCAGCCTCCTCTCCTCTATTTTTTTTATCAGTGTCTTATTTAGAAGCACTTAGTTTTCCTTTCATTATAGTTATTTTGTTTTTTACTTCAGAAACTATTTCTGCTCTGATTTCCCTATACCTTTCTTTACTATACAGTTTTCTTCCCTATACAGTTGTTTCTTTACTTCAGATGCTATTATTTCAGAGATTTCAGGTGTGTGATTTCCAATTTCTTCTATGCTAGTGTCTCCTGCATTTATTCTGGGTGAGTCTGGAGCCTGATAATTCATTTTGCTTCTTCTCTTT